AGGCAGATCTAAAAGCTGGAAGAGAAGGATAAGCGCAACCATAGACAGAAAACCAACATAGATGGAAAGCCATATAACTAAGAGCCAACAGGAATGGAAGAAATTGAGAGTCTTAGGATGAGCAGGGACCCACCAAATTGCAAACCTTACAAAACCTTTATTGAAGACACAAAAGGTCGCAAAAACATCTCAAAAGCCAACCTAAAATTTCTGCTTAAGGCATTTCGGGTAATTCATAAATAGAAACATCTCACTATCTCAGACATATAAATAATACAGCAGGGAGTGTTTTTCCATGCCTCATGCATGAAAATATCATCAATAGCACAAAAAAGAAGAATATTTACAGCTGAAAAGGCTGTGTCGCAAAGCCAGCAAGACAATGGCACGTAATATATGTAACAAAAGCAGCACACCAAAGATCTAAGGAAAGCAAAGGGGAGAAATCTAGCTTAATAAAACTAACCAGCTTTGCATTCACAGGAGCTCTCTCACCAGCCATGTGGGAAGCTATACGAGCAGCAGTTTTATCAGCTGAGCCAGATTTTGCAGCAGCAGCACTTCTTCCGTGTACTGAAGCAGATGCAGCATCTACAACACTAAACCCCTGTCTGCTTTCAGTCTTTCCATTAGATTTAGAATCATCTACAATACGTGATCTTGCATCTAAAATAGCAGCAAGTGCTGCAGCTCTTTCTTGTTGTGCCTTGCTTCCGCCTCCTCCAAGCAATGCTGTTTGTTTTCCTTTCTCAGTTCCAAGTTCTGCAAGCATTTGCTTGATGTCCCCACTAACATTTATGTTATATGTTGGATCCGATTCCATTTTTTTCAGTTCTGACAGAGAACAAACATGTCAAATGTGACCGCAGAAGCAAAACAAGCCAAATGCAAAAGAATTTTTACACGAAAAGGATACCTTCATCATCAATTTTCAAGCCTTTCTTGACATGGTCAAATTCAGCTAGAGCTTTTTTGGTATCAAGTTCATTAGGATTCTGCATAGGGATAACAGAAATGTCAGTGTGGGGCTTAATGGTGACTAGGGACGATATGAGTAACTTAAAAACAGGCAAGTAGAACATAATAATTACTCTAGTTACCTGGATGGTTATGAGATCATCTCTAGTAAATGGTTCATCTGTGAGTAGCTCCTTCCAATTCTTTGTTTTAATATTCAACTCTTTGATTGCCTGTAAAAGAAAAAGCACAAAAATTAAGGCCAGCTACTGTGAACATGAATGTAACTCAAAAGTGTATGTGTATCATTAGAAGCAGCAATATCTCTGCTACAGTGGTTTTCTATAGATTATATCCATCTAAACCCTGAAAATTTCGGTAAATTATAAGTATTATGCCTTGTCTAAGAATGTTACACAATTATTTGTAACGTTTGTGTTTATATGCAGGGCAAAGAAAAGAACCAACCTCATAACAGAACACGTTTCCAGTGGTCTTCACAGCAACTATGTGGGTGAATTCAGTAAAAACCTTGTTCAAAACCGGGCAATGAAACTCCCCTAGGAAAAAAAAAAAAAAAAAGAAAAAGATCAACAGATAATCAAACTCAATAAAGACACAGACACACACACACACAATGCAAACATCACACAGACACACACATATATGAATTTAATCATCCAAATGCAAACATATAAAAACAAAAACACTGCAGTCATCTGGAATATGAAGTCATTGCTCAACCATCTTCTCCTCACTCCTTTCCGTCCCATACAAACTACACAAGTAGTAAACTCTTCTCCTCACTCCTTTCCGTCCCATACAAACTACACAAGTAGTAAACAATTTGTATAAATAAGAAACCCTTCAAAATCATAAGTCAGTCAACATTCTCTGTTCCTAAGCCAACAATGAACCCTGCTTACCATGATGGCAATAGCTCATCAATGCATTAAGGAAAACAAACTTTAAGCGCTGATGGCTTTTTCGTTATTTAACAACGGAATAGCTAAACCTTCACCCCCCCCCCCCCAAAAAAAAAAAAAAAAAAAAAAAAACCCTGGCAGTGTGCAGTGATCAAAATATGAAATGCACTATAATCCCAATTCGAAATTACCATTGATCGGTGATCGAATACACACTTATCTATTCTAGGGCTACATAATTAAGTCTCATTCATGTTGAAACAATGAAAAACAAGCAATAAAAGGCATAGTAATAATAATAATTATTATTATTATAAATATAATGTATAATACCTTCAGAATTCTTATGGAATGCAAGAGGAATAAGATCCGCAAGCTTAAGTGGAGCTCCAGTAACTGGGTTTTTCCCATACTTCCTAATATATGGTATTATATGCCTATCACCCAATAAATTCACACCAATTAAACCTTCAAATTAACTCAAAAAACAATCGAATTGCGAATAAAATTAACAAATTAAATCGAAAAACTAACATTGTTTCAAAAACGCAGCCATCCTGAGTGCAAGTTGGAATCTCAAAAGGCGTAAATGTGAGACTGCAAAATCAAATTCAAAAAAAAATCTGGAAATTATGACTTGAAAATCATAATCAAACAATAATAATCAAATTGAAAAGATAGAGAAGATATAATTACGCGCAGCAATAGAAAGGAAGACGTTTGAAGGGAGTACGAAGATCTTTGGACTTGGCACCTCCCCATTCAGTAGCCCACTCTGTCTTCGTAATGTACATACGATCTTTGCTATGCTGCTTCTTCCCCATTTTTCAATTTCTCTTTCAATTCCTCTCTCCTAGGTTTTGATTTGGGGAAAAATTGAATTAATAAAATTTTCTAGGGTTCCGGTGAGAAGTCACCGGATTTATTATGTTTACGATGAGGCGGTTAAGGTGACCTTGACTAGCTAGGCGGCGTTTACTTACGAACAACGAGACAAGTGAACAGCGGGTTGTTTCGAGTCATTTTGACGCAATTTTTTTTTTTTTCTTTTTTAATCTATCTATCTATTAATAACTTATACTAAAAGCGAACCTATAATGACACTTGGCATAATGTCATTCATTTTTTTTCCCGCCAATTTCATTATTTCCTTAATTATTATATTATATTTTAATTTTATTATATAATTATTTCCTCATTTAATTATTATATTTTATTATATTCTTATATATTCTTATCATATAATATTTATGTATACATAGTAAATATATACACCGTATCAACCATATCATTCACAAAACAGAAATAATGTGAAAAGTAGTATAAAATCTTTTCAAATTTCCAATATTCACAATACTATCTACATATAGTTTCAATTCACCATTAAATATCAAATTTATGCATGATTAACAATGCATACGAGTAAAAAAATTAATTTTACATATTTATATAAAAAAAATTCTCCAACTTTTATCATGTGATAAAAAAAATTATTTTAATTAAAAAAGAAAATTCATTTTGGTAGCATAGATTCTTTGTATAAATTTTAAAATTATACATAAGGTTTATAAAAACAAAATCGCTAGCAAAAGTATGCTTCATACAAACGTACATAACATATATTGGAAAACTAAATCTAATTATTTGATTGAGTATAAAACATATTTTTTTGGGCCTTAATCAAAACCTTGAACTGAAGGTTTCTAAGGATAATTTGACCTAAATTTCATATTTCATAATTATATTAAGTTTTACACTATTTTTGATAGTTTCTAAGCATAACACGAAAGCAAACCGAAATCTGACTCGAACTCGACCTGCTGACCCAAATTGCCACCCCTAATTGGTTTAAACTAAAATTCAAGTTATTTTTATTATAACTAATTTTTTTGGATAAATTATTGTTGAATTAACACCACTATTTATTATTTATTTGTTCTAAAATTTAATTATAACCATGCATGGCACGGGACTTAAACAAGTACTATATTACTATATACTAAAAGACACACCAGTAATGACATGTGTCATCTCCTGGTGTGTCCTTAATTATTATTATTTTTTATATAAAAAAAATCTATTAATTAAGGAAACAAATCAATTTCAAAAATAATTATTATTTGTGGTACATATTCCATATTAATGTAGTATATTTAGAATAAAAAGATTTCACAAATACTTTTTCTAAAATAGAAAATTGGACAACTATAAACCAAAAATTATATTCTTAAAAATATTTTGTGATTTTTTTTTACACCAAAAAAAAAATGCTCGGATGCCTACTTTTATTTTTAATTGTGTATTAGAAGCTACAATTAAAATTTAACATATCACATACTTTTATTATTCCTCGACTAATTTGTGATTATAATAATTATCTATTAATAATCAATAACGATCACCGTGCATGGCACGGGATCTAACCTAGTATATATATATATATATATATATATATATATATATATATATATATATATATATATATATATATATATATATATATATATATATATATATATTTACAAAGTATATATATTTTGAGAAATTCTAATTAACTTTTTTGTATGATTTTTTTCTTTATTTGGAAAAGAAAGATAAAAAAAAGTGAGGATGACCTATTTTGATTTACTGAATTGAACCGAATTGATTGGAGCTGAACTGAATAGAACTGAAATGAATATTATGAGGAAATTAGGAAGTAAACTGAATAGAACTGAAATTAAGCTAAAGAGAACAAGTCATGTATCCTAACTTATTTGATGAATTAATAAGACAAATTTGAACGTCTATGAGCTAATGTTTTAATTTGCAAATTGATGGCTTAAAGCTGCAACATAATTTGTTGCTCAATTGGCTTTTCGATTAGGTTACTTATTACAGACCAACTTCACAAAGAGACTTCCTTTTCCGTCCAAGTCATTATGATCAATGGACCAAGTTGCCGAACAAGTGGATGTGGTTGACATGTTAGCCTCAAAATCATGTACTAGTATAACTTATTTACCTCAGGCCTAATCAAGTAACCATTTTAGAGCTTCTCAATTGACATTTCTCATGTTACTAAACTTTTATCAACCAAACAAGCACCGAAACAATACACTTAATTAATAACTATTAAAAAGTCTCATTTTCGAAATTTTTTATATCAACAAAACAAAAACCGAAACCATAACACTCAAGCCACTCTGAAAAGTCTTGCGTAACCAAGCTTATCGGGTTTGTTGATGGAACCGGACTAGAATAAGCCCAACAAAGAAAAAAAACAAGGTGGTAGAGACAGCAGCATACTCCATCGAAGAAAATGGAAGAAGAACCCCACTGCAGCAGCAGCAGTGATGACGAAGACGGTGATGATGAATGGAAAGCCGCCATTAGCGCCGCCGCCTCCACCCTTCTGGGTTGTGCGCAGCCCAAACAAACACCCACTCCTGCGCTTGATAACGATGATGAAGACGCCAAAACTCTTCAACCCCAGCCCATCAAGCACTATCAAATCAAGGTCATTCCCTCCTCCTACCTATTTCATCGTAATATCATCATCAATTTCTTCTACTTTTATGTCATTAAATATTGATTCTTGTTCATATTTACCTGCTTTACAAATTCCCCATTTGATAGAAGTTATCAAAATTGTGGTAGTTTCAACTCTTACCATTTATTGGATGGTATTTTATTTGTTTATTGGCTTACTTATTTTCAAAATGTATCTAATTGTTAGAACTGTAATTGAATTGAATGTAAGCTGTTATTAGTCCTTATTACTACACTAAGCAGGTTCAAATTAGTTAGCAAGGTGGTATCTTTGAAGCTTTTTGGTTGAAATTAGGGTGGTGATTGACTGATTGTGAATGTGATTGTGATTATCTTTTGATTGGTGATTTTTTAGTTGATTTAAGACTTGAAATATAACTTTGAGCAACTTCCCAAGAACTGAAAATTGCAATTCCATTAGGTAGAATAAACAACTACTTTGGTGTCTCAATCTAGTAAGTACTAGCAATAAGCCAATAATCCTATTTTATATTTTGAGATGTATAATGCCATAAGTGGCTGAATGTTTACCATATGTCCTTAACTAGTTAACTAGTAGTAAAATGAAGTTCCCAGTTCATCGAAGATATTCCTAAGAAACCCCAATATTCGCTTTGCAAGTAGCTGATGTAAAATGAGCAAGCTTGAATAGATCCGTTTGGTTCAGAACAAACTCGGTGCAAAGAGCGCTTATCCCCTGGCTCATTATCTTAGTGACATCCTAATAATCTCTTTTATGCCTAAACCAACCTATAAGACCATCTCTGTTATCAGCCGCAGCATCAATTGATCCTGATTAGGGTTTTGTTCTCGGTTAGGATACTGATTCCAGACCAGCTTCGCTAGGAGACTTCCTTTTCCATCCCCAAGTCATTCCAAAGATCAATGGACCATTTTTGTCACTTTTCTGAGAAAAGAAAGTCTGGTTGACATGTAATACTCCTGTTCCTTAAGCTTAGCCTTCTTAGAGCTAGGAAACTAGGAGGGGGACTTGTAGACGAGTAAATATATGGGGGATTATCTTAACAAAATTGAGAAATTTGTCTTCTTGACTCCTAAATTATTCTGTATATAATAAGATGCCTTAGGTTTGTATTGACCAGTGAAAACTGAAAATTAAAGATGCCACTGAATATGTACTGACTTAGTGAAATACTAAATAGTATGCCATGCTCATTAAGTTGTTATGAGTATAGTGGAAGCTCTCAATGGAAATAGGAGAGGAAGCCTTCTTAGACTATACATGATCAGATGGAACCGTGTATGACAACAAGCTACGATTGATTGACCTAATGATTAGGATATTATCATGCTAAAGCCATATTATTCTTCAAAACCCCTTTTGCAATACTATACCTAATGTTTGTTAGAGGCTAAGAAAAGAAATGTTCATCTGATTTGCGTCTTTTGTTTTTACTCAGACTATTTGCTATGCAATGAAAATGAAAAGAGTATAGGGACTTGAAGCCTTGAAAGAGAAAACTCAAGTCCAGGCTATCAAACTAGAACAATATTTGCATGTTCAAGTATAGGGACTTCGAGTGTCATTGAGAGACCTTTTTTTTTTTTGAACTACTGGGAACTTATTTGCATGTCTCCTAAGTAATCACATTATTCAGCAAGGAAAGTGGTCTGAGTGACCTGAGTAGGTCATTGTTTAAGCTGTTTGCTGAGAATTTGTATTGTAACTAACAGGCACAGAAGACCTTGGATGAAATAATGAGAAAATCTTTAGATGTGGTGAAAACTTCAGATCCCATCGACATCAATGATGATCATCCTGTCGCAAATGACGGTGGGGTTCGTTTATTCAAGCAAGCTCCTGTTGGCATAGTGTTTGATCATAGAGGTATAAATAGTTGAATACGTTTCTCTTGTATCTTTTCCACTTGTTCAAAGGCTCAAATGCTGGAATTTAGATCTGGAAATTATTCAGTCAGAACTATTTCTTTGTTATCAGTTGAGCTAAAGGGACCAAAAAAGAAACCAAGAATTCTCCCGGGTGAAGCAATTAATGAGAAATCAAAGAAGGTTTTTATTCTTCTTACTCTCATTAGCCTAACTTCTCCCCCTCCCCTATAGAGAGAATATACGTTATGTAAGAAGGGCTACTGATTCTCTGGCTTTATTTATGTTTGCCTGCAGTTTAAAAGAGAATTGCAGTCTGTTGTGGTTGAGGGAATGGATATCTTAGCTACTGCAAAGGATGCAAGCTTAAAATCTCTATCTAAATTGAAAGCCAAAGAAGCAGCTGCAAAAGAAGCTGCTAAGAGAGAGGAAGAAAGAGTTGCACAGCTGAAGAAAATCAGGGGGGAGAAATGGCTGCCATCAATCGCTAGAGAAACGCAGAAGAAATATAAAGTTCGTTAGTTTAAGCTTGAATATGAGATTCCCTACTGATTGTCTCCTTCTGCCAAAAGAATACTTGGTTCCTTGAATGCACCTCCTGTCTGATTTGGGACATTAGTTGTATTAAACTTTTTGTAGGCTAGGAAAAATGTATTTGAAACAAAATTTTTTGAAATTGAGTTTCCTAAGATATCTAGTATAATCAGGTGTTATCCTGATTTCTTGACTAGTTGACTTGTTGCGTTTCAATCAGTCATATCTACAATTTTTTTTTTTTTCGTTTTGGTGCATTCAACAATGTGCTTGGAACATGTCAGTTTTAATTACCTTTAAAGAAAGATATTATAACAAATTGAGATCGGCTAAGAAAAAGTGTTCCTCGGTTCCTCTTCCTCTACTTCCTCCTTACTAATTCAGAATTTTACTTCGAATTCTATTTATACTTTTCCATCTTGTTATGGATTCTTTATCATCTTGAGATAGATTGGTTTCCATTCATTCATTCCATTATAAATTAACAATTGTAGACTATGAAACTAAAATCAACTTTGATTGGTGTTGAGTGACAAACACAAAACCAATAGAGTATTATAAGTAGTAGTACAAATAACCTATGTTATTTATTGGTTTTATGGAGAATTTGGGTATAATTAATTGATAACACAATGAAGACGAAGGATTTCCAACACGTTAATATGATCTCGGGATGCCAAGTTGCTGATAAAAACAATCATCTCAATCTTGCAACTCATCACTACAATTGTAACATAATTTTGAATTTGCCAAATAGTTTCATGGCTTGGGCTTGCATTGTCTTGGCTACAGTTGCTCTATTTATCTAACAGGATCAATTATGGTTTTTTTTTATGTAATCCGTACAATAATCTAACCTAACATGATCAGTTGGCAACAAAAGAAGAGAATCCAATTTTCTATTAGTGGTAAATAATTAAACTGACATTCTGACAAAGACTTCTAAAATAAAGAGCTGAATGAATATTTCCGGGAATGAAAATACAAAAACGTTAAATTATTAGTGGTAGAATGAACCCAGGTGTTGATTAATCCGATAAAAATCAAACAAAAAACTGAAGGAGCACAAAACAAAGCATGTGGCATTGCATTTCTCAAGTCAAGTTAACAGTTTTTTTTTAACATGAATTTTGCAGATTTTAATGATAAAGAAACTGATGGTCCCATCTCTCAATTTAAAGTCACTTTCTTTGGAACACAGAAATTGCTAAATAACAAAAATTTTCAAGATAATATGCTCCTAACAATTAATTATTACGGCAGACCAAAGGCTCTCTTTAGTGGAGTGATAGTGTTACTAATCTTACTATAAATAATTCCGCCTTTTTTGTGTCTTCAACCCCATTTTAGGTGAAAGAACTCACAGAAAAAAAGCCATCTTATGCTTGAGATTTAAGCTATCCAATATATCATCTTCACCCTCTTAATATCTGTCTCTCTTTAAGTTTCTCATCAAGTGAAATGGCGATCTTGCTGTCGAGTGTGTTTGGAGGTCTGGGTTACTGCATGAACACACTGTGGGGGCTGCAAGAACGGAGATTTTCTGCTGTGTTTGAAGCTGTACGCTCAGGTGCAAGATACATGACTATGGGGCTCATTTTCTGTTTCTTTTCGCTTCAGACTAGAGGGGAGCTGAGTTATGCCTTCATATGATCCTCTGCATGTCTGTGCAACCAAATGTAACTCTTTTGCAGCCTCTGTTGGGTGTCTGACGGATTCTGAAGTAAAAAGTAACAGAAAACGACTCCGGCGGTTGCTCCCTCCAGTTGTCTATCTGATTTGGCAAATAGAATTTTCTTCATGTAATAGTTCTATGCATGGCAGAAGGATTTTGGCCATTTTGCTCATAGCAAACTAAAAATGACTGTCACACCCTTCCCAGCTCAAATATAGATTGTTACTCATTAATTTACTCATACAATTGTAATGCAGTCAGTAAACAGTTGGTATGTTCGCATCTTCATTGCTGAATTTGGATTCCAAGGTAAATATAATTTTATCAGCATTTTCATGTGAAGCTCACTTGTGATACTTAAGCGTTTATTATTATATGGATACAATAACATACGGTCGATACAGAATGTTACATAAACTAACCACAAATAATTTCTTTTATTCATGCATCCATACATACAGAAAGTATTGATTCTCTGTTATAATCTCAAGCTACAAGAGATTTTAACACAACCAAATAAATTAACTACAATAAATGGATTTAACATGACGGGACGAGAATAAAGAACTTGCCTAAAATTACAGGGTGTGGGAAACGAGTAGTTTCCAATTTGGCATTTCAAAAATCGGTGGCGAAGAGGTTTATTTCTGATATAGACAGGTACAGAGGTCTTGCACCAGGACATAATGATCGCATTAGGCCTGCAAGTATCCATGACCTTCCAAATACGATACTACAGTTTCGGCCATTTCACATGGAGAAGAGCAAGCATCTGGCTTCTGTTCTAAGGCGATCTGCAAAATTAGCGTTCATAATTTCATAAAGAATGAGGACCATGACCTTGTATAGGACTTGTAAACAAAGAAACAAACAAAGATGTCTATCTATTTTAAAAAAATTGTAAGCTGATTTGTTGGTCAGCTGAAAAACTCAAATGAGATCAGGGCCTTGAATAAATAAGCATTAATGCACTGTCGAGATAATTAGAACAAAGTATAACAAAGAGATTGTACCTCACAATTTAGAGGTTGTTCATAAGGATCATCTATCCCCGTGAAATCTGAAAGTTATGCACAGTGGAGTTCACTCCGTCAAAACAACAATATGAAGAAAAAAAAAAAGCTATGTGCCATTGCCTTACAGTTACAGACTTGCCAAAAGCAATCGAAGAGGAGAATCAATGGCAACTGTAATATCAAGAAAACACAAGCTAGAATAGAGGAGACAAAGGCATTGATCCAATCATGTTCTCTAGATAACAACCATAGCACAGAAAGAAGACAGGAAACAAAAAATAGGTCAAGAGGCTCAGGTCCCACAAAATTACCCTCAAAACATTCCAGGGGCTGCACGTAGAGCAATTCATGGACAATCTAAGAACAATTAGCTAAATGTTTAGTTTGATTAGCTAAATATTTCAAACTTCAGCTTGACTGTGAGATATTGACTATACAGGCTGAAATCAGGATTTGCCGGAGCCTGGTTAAAAGCTAGCAAAACCAGATCTCCTATACTATATCCACATAATTCAAATTTTCCAAACATTTATAGAAATAAACATATCAGGCTTTATCCTTTTTATTGCCACTCAAGTACAAAAAACCGGAACTAGTATATGAACCTGAATTGAGTTTAAGTATGACAAGTTTCGGCGTAGAGCAGAAGCTAACAGAACTTGACCCTTACCTTGTGCAAGGTACTTTAAAACTGAGCTCCAACTCCATTCCAGGATTAGTGAGAACCGACCAACACTCATCTAGTCATGGCCTTCCTTTAACCATTCTGGAACTTCAGTCAGCAATTCAATCCTTACTAGTTACCACTAATGCAGATTAAGACTCCATATGGCTATCTTTACAGTTTTATTTAGGAAAACTCTCTTGGTTTTACCTTACTCTTAAAGTGAGATTTTACAAATGAACTTTAATTACTATTGGACTTATTATGGGTGTCTCAGGCTTTTAATTAGTTTCCAAGGTGTGAGGGTTAATTATTGGCTTGAGTTCATTAATCAATCCACTCGTTCGATAATACCTATCCTTTTATTTAGTGAAATGTAATTACCTGAAAATATAAGTACGTTTTGATAGTGTTCCACAAGACCAATATAAACAACCATATCTAACTTTAGGCCTAACCCTAATGATCAATATCCTCATAGGACTCAGACACTCAATAAACACCTCTGAAATACCCAGATAGGTTCTCATCTACTAAGTTTACATAAAATCTTTTTAGTCCATTAACTTTCATCTAGCTTTGGTCAAAGGAGAATCATAGAAGAACAATGGCAAGCAGTGAGACAAACACCAACGCACACCATTTAAAACACACTACAGAAAGTACCTTTAATTTTTCCAGCTCGTGCCAACTTGTACAAGCCCTTTGGGTCCCTGGCTTCACAAAGTTGAAGTGGAACATCCATAAAAACCTGTGAGTTGATAGCTGAGTCATTATATAAATAAGAGTATGGCCTTTCTTTATCGTTTTCAGACAAGCAAAGACAGCAAGAAGAGAAAGTACCAATAAAGGAGAAGAAATACCTCGATGAAGTCCCCCTTTGGTAATAGGGCGCGACAAGCATCTCTGTCCTTTCTATAAGGAGATATCAAACTAGCAATGCAGATGACACCAGCATCAGCAAAAAGCTTGGCTACCTCACCTGGAAGCATAATAACTTAGTTATGGTTAAAGAACGGGAATAAAAACAATTTTTGGAACAAAGAAAATTAATACAGCACCCACCAACTCTTCTAATATTTTCTGCTCGATCTTCCGCTCCAAAGCTTAAATTCTTGTTTAAACCATGCCTAACATTATCACCATCAAGGACATAACTTAACTTTCCCCTTGAGTGCAAGCTATGACTCAATGCACAAGCTAATGTGCTCTTCCCTGTGACAAAATATGAGGTCAGAATGAGGAAGAATCAAACAACAATATAACAACTTTTCAAAAATGAGGAAGGTCCATAGAGTTAAAAAAAACGTGGATTATACACCATAAAATCATAGTTTCGACATCACCAAGCGTTATTAAGTATGGAATCTATGGACTATGATTGCAAAATGTTAAAATTAGATTCATTGATTCAAATAAAAAAAGACGGCATAAAATTGTCCATATGCTAATAGGTACAAGATTGCAACTTTCAACATAGAAGGGTACAAAGATTGCAACTTTCAAAATAGGAGCCTACAGTAAAGTGCATTAAAATTGAGTAATGGTGATTTACAGCTTCTATATAGATCAAACGATCAGATAGCATTAAATATGTTATAACTAGAACCACCAAGTTAATTCCAGCACAGCAGAGCAAAACAACACCGAGCAACTAGAATTCATTTCCTCAATAGTTTATCCGAAAATTAACCAAGGATAAACAAAACCCATCGTTTTTAGTGCTTAATTAACTCATACTATTAACCTATTTTTTGTAGGGTAACACTGTAACATGAACAAACAAAAGTGTTCAGAAAGTGCAAGCACAGTGATGGTTAGGTGAATCAATGAAAATTATACCAATAATACAACTCAAAACATGTGGTGCAAATAATACAAACGTGCAAATAAAATTGTACCAATAATATAAGTGTCAATAAGATAAGCAAACCTGAACCACTGAGACCAGTTATCCAGATGACACAACCTTTCTGTTGTAGTAATTGTTCTCTATCATGTTTGTTGACCGAGCATTCATGCCATAAAATGTTGGTAGATTTCTCAATTGTTGACATCTGCTTTCGAAATGTACCTAGTCATTAATCTCTTATCAGTTCCTCTAATCATTAACTCGTAATTCATCCAAATAATCAAGTATATATATAGGCATTACAGTCTGCATTGAGGCGATGAAGAAAATACAGTGCTTAGGTTGATCTATACAGTGTTAAAACCATAAAAACCCTTTTGCAACAGCATACTCAAACTAACTAGGTCCACAACATAACTACATAATAAAAACAGCAAAAATCAACCTAAATCACATAAAAATTGAATCTGAAAAATATGATAAACTCATAATTTTTAATTAATTGGTGAATGAAATTCAATTCATGTGATAACAAAGATCTGGAATATATTCTAGAAACATAATAAAAACGAAAACTTTGTAATAATTTAATGTTGACCAGAAAAATTAGATTACAAACAGAAAAACCCATCCAAGAATACGACAAGATTTCAGCTCATCAACTAATTTCCTATACCAGATACATAAAAAAAAAAAAAAAAAAACCCCAGATTAAATCAGCAATATAAAAATCATTCAAAAAATATAAACAAAAAAATGATAAAAACTAACCCCAAATCCAATTTCGCTTAATTGACAAGCAGTAGAGGAAAAACAGAAATGTTTTTGCCAAAGATAGAGGAAGTCAGACAAAATTCGATTTTTCCTTTTTTATAAAGAGTAAGTTCTAAACGAATCACTAAAATTCTGGAATATAATTCAAAAGTAAAAAAAAAAATGGAGAAAAAAATAAGTTACCCTTTCCGTTAGGAAAACCGTTGGTACAGTCACAATCTGATTGACCATTAACGTCATTTAACGACGACGTTTCATCTAATCTCCCCACCGCTTTGACCAGCTGCCCAAATTTCGATTTTCGATTATCAAAATGAGTACCAAATCGGATCCTATAACGACCCGAATTAATCGGAAACCCTAATTCCGGCGATACATTTCCGATTAACGACGGCAGCAGCTTGAAAGCCACCGTCATCTCTCTGACGCTTACTCCCTAAATTATCGGCGGATAGATCGGAAGATTGAAAAGTGCCGACAAAAATCGGAAATCCAATCAAAACATTAAAATTGAGAGAGTGAGTGAGAGAGAGAATTGAAGACGGAAGATTAGGGGAAAACGCCTGGCGGGAAATTATTTGTCACACACCCATTTTATTACAGATTATTACTACTTCTACTTCCGTACCTAATTAGAGATTTAGAGCTCGTTTTCCACGATTACAAAATTTATCTTTACAACCTTTCATTTTATAATGGGTGGTTTATACACACGGTTGTACGATGCGCATCGTACACACGCCCCAAAACGACACCCCTTAATAAGTGAAACGCAAAATAGTAATTCATGGTTAAAAAGGCGGAAAGAACATCAGTAACAATGCAAAGAACATGTGGATTTTAAAGAACATTACGATGGAAACAAAGAACGCGTGAAATAAGGAGGTAATTTTGGGTAGTTACGGCCCACGTGTTACTGCCCACAGTAATTGTAAAAAATCATTTGGTAAAAATAATTTCCCAAAAAATCTTTCTCTCTCTAGAAACTCTCTCTCTATATTCTCTCTAGAATTCTCAAAAATTCAAAACCCTAAGATTTTTTGGGTTTTTGAAACAATAGTATTGAACAAGAGAAGGGAAGTGAGCATGAAATTGGAGCTACGAATGAACCTCAAAACGCAGACGCAAGGGTCGAGGTTGAAGACGATGCTACTCTAAATCAGTTTCTGCAAGGTAGTGGTAAAAAACCGTACACTCCATCTGTAATTGGTCCAATTGTAGATCCCGCGCTTCTAAATGAGATTGCAAAAGAAGATGATGCTTCAAAGTGAGTTAAAAAAGTTCTCTTTTTGGATTTATAGTATGTCCTTGTTTTGTTTTTTTTATGTTTTTATTTTTTAGTACTTCAATGTACTGTCAACTTCATTAAAAATGGTAGATCTGTATGGTAGGGTCAATTTTTAAAGTATTATTTAAGTGTATGTTCTCTATATGAAGGTGTTATGTTCTTTTGTTAAATCGTTGTGTACTTTTAATTTGAAAACAATTAGTATTGTTCAATTCACTTTTGATGTTCCCTAAAATTCAGCATTCTATTCTTTTTAGTAGGCATATATGTTCTTTTAGATTGAATCTATGTGTATTCATTTTTTATAAATTGATTGTTCTTTTTAATGCATATGCTATGTGTGTTGGTGGTTTTATGGGTTTTAGGTTGGGGTTGTGGCTGGGTAGGTATGGTGGGATTTCGAGTTGGGTTGGGGTGAGAGGTGGAGGTGGTGGACTGGTAGGGGAGTGGTGGGTGGCTGGTTTGGTTCAAGTGCAAGGGAGTATTGGCCCCTCAATGGTTTCCAAAGATAATTCCTTGAAATTCAATTGCAAGTTCAAGTTATATTCCAAAGTAGTGGTTCACAAAAAATTCTATCCTAAAGCATAAAATAATTTGACACTGTGACTACATTTTAACATAGTTTACTTATAGTAATCTGATCAAAGTATGCTTTGTCATAGAATTTCATGTGATGACTTATTAATTATCAGATTAGCTTCTGTCCAAAACTTGAAATTCCACCCTAAAGTTCATAGTCAACCATTCAAGGAAGACAATATCATGGCATGTCTGCCGCTAGAATCCCAAGTCTCCTACTGAGTCTATTCCAAAGTAGAATCCCAAGTCTCCTACTAAGTCTACATGTATGTCTTGTAATGCCTATGATATATTAGTTCTTTTGTAATGCCTATGTCATGTATGTTTAGTGTTCCTTTTTATTTGGTTTTACACATAAGTTGAGTGCGTTTTTAATTGTTGTATAAATATTTTTAGGAATTTAGATGTTCAACCATTGGAAGTGAAGGATGAAAAGGCAGAACAACAACATGAGGAGAAAGGTTCAAAGAAGAAGAAAGACTATCATTTCAAACAAATTGCTACTAAAAAAAGGTGTGTAGAATGTATATAATTTTCTTTTTAATAGGTTTGTATGTTTTTTTTATTTTAAGACATGTTCTTTATGATTTCATGCACATAGCAAATATATTTAAAACATATGTGTTCTTTTTTTTTTTTTTGTTCTTAATATTACAGGAAGAAAGTTGTTGAGCATACCACTGAAGAAAAAAGGCAAACTGTTCAACATGAAGGAAAAATAATGCTGAAAAAGAGGAGGGCTCCATTGGGAGAGCCTTACTTTCCAGTCAAGGAGAAGCCTGAAGTTGGTGCTGCTCAATCAGCTTCACAATCTAAGGCTCAAAGTACAATAGTGGAAGTGTCAAAGGACATTCCAAGAAAGAACAATAAGGATAAAGGACTTGTTGTTAGAGAGAAAAAAACTGATGTAGCTGAAGTGGATGTGGGTGAACAAGGAGAAATAAAGGAGGAATTTACAACATCCCAAAGGCACACTGTACAACCTTTGCTGAATCTAATAAGGGGATTGGAGGAACAAGAAGAGAAGTTGCAGGCTATAAGAGATATGGGATTTGGAGGTATACTACACCTTGATATGCCTAGGAGCTCCCCTAATTTTAATGCCACATTGGTTCTGAATGTGGATGCTAATGAGGTGTGCATTGTATGTGCTAGAAATAGGACAATAGACATCAAACCTGTTGATGTTCATTTGGTGTATGGTTTACCTATGGGAGGGAAAGTGATAGTTGAGGCTGCAAATGAGAATGAGGAGATGGTGATGGTGATGAGAGAATTGAAAGCTTATCATGGTGGTGGTGGAATTCCAAAATTCTCGGCTTTGGTTGATGACTTGTTGGAACCAAACAACCTACCAGATGATAGATGGAAGAGGAGTTTTTTATTGCTAGTGGTGAATTGTTGCATTAAGTCTGTGGCTAACACACAACCCTTATTCAAGTAATGTTCTTTATTCCCTAAACTAATGTTTTTTTAGCTAATTATTTGTTATGTTCTTTTATATACATAACATGTTCTTTATATGTAACTGTAATGTTTTTTAGAATAATATATCTGTTACTTATTATATATTGTATGCTATGTTCTATTTTATAAAACTATATGTTCTTTTGTTAATTCTGACATGTTCTTTAGTATTATATATGATGTTCTTTCTTATATTTTGTTATTTTATTGGCTAGATTCATGCACACAGCTGTTGACACAAGTCAAATTTCAAGTTTTGATTGGTGTTCTTACACAATACAAAGCTTGATTGACAGTTCTATTTACTATCAAGGAGATGTGAAGAGATACTTTCTTGGTCCACTACCATTCCTTATGGTAGTTTCCACTTTTATTTATTCTTTTATTTAAATATTTTGTATATAGATATATATGTGTTTATCGTACTGGGTTTTTTGTTAACAGGTTTGTTACTTTGATCGACTACAAAGGAAAAATATCATTATGCCTAGACAAATTCCTTTAATCAAAGAATGGGATAGTGATAAAATAGCAAAAAGAATTGTTATTGAGAGGAAGCTTGACTTTGGGCTTGGCACACTGTTGGATAGAATTGAGATCCAAGATGGTTGTGGCCAGCCTTTAGCTATTGAAGGTGTAGTGGACCAACAACAGCAACCGCAGCAACAACAGCAGCAGGAGGAACAACAGCAACAACAACAACAGCAGCAGCAACAAGTTCAGGAGGAACAACAACAACAACCTCAAGAACCTTCTAATTTACAGGTAAGCATTTTATAATTAAATATATAAAGTATGTTCTTTAATGGTTAAATATTATGTTCTTTAATGGTTAAACTTGTGTTCTGTAATGGTTAGACTTATGTTCTTTTCCAACTAATTACATGTTATTTTGCTTTCTAATTAAGCATGTATTTTTTTTAATTTTTAGTGTTCTCTAATGACTATGGTTATGTTTTTTTTTTTATTCCTTACATGTTCTTTTATTTTCTAATTCAGCATGTGTTATAATTTTTAGTGTTCTTTCATGATTATACTTATGTACTTTTTTATTAATTACATGTTCTTTTTTTTCTGTACTTTGTTCTTTTGTAGGAATACACCCATTTGCTACGCCAAGCAACAGAAACAATTGCTTCTGGCTTTGTGAACCTCTCCAAAATTCTTAAGATGGGAGAGAGGTTCCATAATAGACCTATTGATGGGGATGCCACACTGTACAATGTAGCTGCAATGTGGTCCAGACTTTCTGGCATTAAATTGTCGGAAAAAGTAATAAATAATGTACCTTCTCAAAGGGTTGAGGGGAGTTCCATCCTGAGCCAAGATACAGAGTTCTTTGCATCTGACTGGTTTGGTGAGATGGTTGACAATGTTGTCAAGAATTCTGGAGTGGAAGGAATCACTGTGGAGAAAGAGAAAGAAGGAGGTGAAGAGGAGGATTCTCAACCCACTGAGTTGGAGCCATTGGTATTCAGTGTGGTTACCCCTTTGACTCCACCAACACAATATACAGGTGATCTAGACCTGAAACTGGCATTGAGCACAACAAGTCCCCTCAATCTGGGAAACCAACAATTTTCTGACATCGGTGAATTTGATTCAGCCTTCACTGACCAACAGTTGGAACCAAGTGTACCAGAGGAGATGTTAGATGGTCAAAAGACAGGGTAACTAATAATCTCAAAATGTGATTTCAGATTTGTGTGGTATATTTATTTAGATTTGAATGATTTAGAATACAAATCTGTAATATTTATGTATTATTTAGATGAATGTTGTAATGTTCTTTATGATTTCCTAACTTGTTCTTTACAATTTCATATGTTGTTCTATGTGTTGTCATATAATATTCTATAAAGTGTAATGTTCTGTTTGATGTTATATAATGTTCTCTGAGATTTTATGTGATGTTCTTTGATTTTTTATTTGATGTTCTTTATGGTATCATATCATTTAATGTATGTTTTTTTTTATTATTATTAATGATGTATAATATAACTACCTTTGAGTGTAAAAAGGATGCCAGATGAAAACAAGGATCAAGGTAAATTTGAGAAGGTGGTAGAAGAAAATGTAGCTGAAAATCAAAGGTATATACATATATACATAGACTTTATAATTATTATGGGTTATTGTTGTTACTTCATAAATATTTTTTGCTTACAATTATTGATTAATACAGTGATGCAACCGAAAAAGAGATGGTATATGTTAGAGCAAAAAGACAGAAAGGAAAGGAGAAAAATAAGGAAAAAAGGTATATGTTCTTTTATAAAAACTGTATGTTCTTTACGTTTTGTTCTTTGTTCTTTTTATAAAAATTTTATAAAAAAATCTATAAAATATAATTATTATACTGAATAGTATGATTAATTATATATGTGTGCCTTTTTAGTGATGCAACTACAGAAAAGGTAGATTGCAAAAAAAAGAAACAGAAAGGAAAGGAGAAAGTGGAAGAACAAAGGTATATGTTCTTTTTTTTTAGAACTATATGTTCTTTTTAAAAGTATTGTTTGTTATTTCAAATGATATGTATGTTCTTTTACATAAAATTTTATTTGCAGTGTTGGTCCAACACCTACAAAGAGAGCTAGGAAGTTGGGAAAGGTGTACATGTCTCCTTTCCTAGTGCAATATTCTCATTTGATAGAGGGCACTGATGAGTTCAAAGAAGCTATACTGGAATATGCTTTTTCAGATGTACTTGATGAAGAGTATGATTTTATTCCTTGTACTAAACTATGCTTTTTCATATGAAATTGATGAAAAACAAGCTTTATTACCCTTATTTAATATTTCTATATTTTTTCTTTTTATATTTTTTTTCTTTTTATGTAGTGAGTTATTTTATGACGATGGATTTGCACATTTGTCAAGAAAATTGATTAAAACAATGGGCGACAATGTATACATCTACAACGATATAGTTGACGCTTTTTGTCTCATACTTAATGCAAAAAATTCTGCTGATGACAAAAGGAGGATTTTCTTCCCAAATGCAACCATTGTAAGTGTAATTCAATTGGTTTTGATCCCTATTTTTTTTAAGATATATTATTAATTTGATTCTAATCCTTTTGTTTTTATAAAACATAGAACTTGTTATGCGTGAGCGATGCGTATGTTGATGATAGTCAAGAAGCTACATATGGTATCAAATATGTTAAATTCGAAGAGACAATCAGATATTGGCTAATTGATTGCAATATAGAATCAGTTAAAGGATATCAGCTAGTAAGTCATATAATGTTCTTTTATTTTAAAGTAGTGTTCTTCTGAATTTAGTATATGTTCTTTAATTTTTAAGTAGTGTTCTTCTGATTTTAGTATATTTTCTTTTCATGGATTAGTTACACATTTTCTGTGACTTCCTTCACTATGTTCTTTTTATTTCTTTGATTGTTCTTTTATATACGTGTGTTGTTCTTTCATGATTATATCATGTTCTTTATAGTATATTCAATGTTTTTTTTTATCTACCTGTTTCAGTTGTTTTTCCCTGTGTATGCGCACGACCACTTTTATGTGATGGTCTTAAATACAAAATCAAAGGCTGTGGAAATTTTGGATAACAGACCACTTGTAGAGGGTGTTCCTTTTTCAGAAAAGTACCATGACTATCCAGAGAAGTTGGTAAGGATGTTATTTAACTTTTATAAATAATGTATGTTTTTAATTAAAATATATAGTGTTCTTTTTGTCTAACTTTTATATTCTTTCGTTGTGTATGGTAGAGGCATGCCTTCTCAATGTACCTGAAACAACATGGGATGAAGTTATGGGAAAAAGTCCTCAACTATGAAATAAAATTGGTAGACATGTCATGGAGAACATTGGACAACAATGTTGATTGCGGAATATACGCAATGCGCCACATGGAGACATACTTCGGGAAGCGTAAATGGAATTGTGGCTTGAGGGCTGATAATGTAATATTATCATATTTTGTATTTTTTTTTATTTAAGAAAATAACAAACATTAATGTTATTCTTTTGTTTTTTTTTTCTTTTTTGTGGGTGAACAGTTTGATGCATTGAAGGCACTTAGAATGCAGTACGCATATGAGATTCTTGTGGATTAAGTGAATAAGCGCCATGCAGATTTTAGCATGAAGGCCAAGAAATATTTCAAGGAAATTAGGAATGATTAGAGACACTTGTGTTAGTTTTTGAACAAGTATGTCTTTTTGAAAATTTGGTGGATGTTGAACAATTAGCACTGTTTATTTTTTGTATAGTTGGGGCTAATAAACTTTGGAAGCATATTGATTTGGAAGAAAGAATAGAATGAACATGTACAATGTTCTTTATACAACATGTGTTCTTCTGATTTTATGCAATGTTCTTTTGATTACAAACAATGTTCTTTTATTAACATATAATGTTCTATTGATTACATATAATGTTCTTTTAAAAACATTTGATGTTCTTTTTGTTCAGTGAAATTTTATTTCTAGTTATTTTGCATCATATGTCTTATAAACTAACACAAAATATGTCTTTTTATAGGCCACAGTAACCACCATTAATATGCAAAATATGTCTTGTTAAAAAAAAAACTGAAATAGAGTGTTCTAATTTATAAGATCTTATTAAAAAAAAATTTAAAAAAATATAAGGACAAATATGAAATAAAAAAAATTGTTAACGTAGACTAAATAGTACATATCATTTATAATTCTCTAATATTCACTCCAAAATAGTCATCAGGCTAAAAAAACTCCAAAGATCCTCCAAATTCGTTGGAATGTGCCAGAACATTTCCATCAGGTACAGGGAGGAAATCCTTCCAAAAAAAAAATAAAAAATTATTTAAGTAAAAGAACAATATGTATAAAATGAAAGAACAAGTTGTAACCATAAAAGAATGTAATATAATATAATTAAGAACAATATATACCTTAATCGTAGCCTGTGCTTTTTGTTTCATCTTTGAAACACCCTTTGCGCTTTTCTTTCTCCATGACTTTATCTTTTGACCTTTTAGCTTGTTGGAAACCTTTTCCTGTGTGCTTTTCCACCTAGTATTCTTTTGACCTTTTTTCCTTTTTTTGATAGGATCCTTGACATCTACCTGAACCGTGTGTTCTTTAACAATGCCTCCATGTTCTCTTTCAAAACCTCCATGTTCTTTTTCAAGTCCTCCATGTTCTTCAGCCAATTCCTCAAATATTACTGCTGGTTCTAATAGACTGCCATCACCTTTTTCTTGAGTAACATCTTGTTCATTCGTTTTTGATAACTCAGGTGGCATATCTTTATCTTCTCCCATCAAGAGATTAATCCTAGCAGTGCATTCTTCAATTGCTTCCTCAATGACAGCTCGAGCACTCAAGTCATTATGTGCTCGATCTACAAGTGTGATAAATGTACGAATATGATACAATCTCCATACACTACAAGGAGTGACACCCATTTCAGCAACATCATTGTCATCAACTCTAGTGCACATAGCAGCTTTTGTCCATCTCTTGCAAATGTATCTTTTCGGGATATAAGTAATGTTGTTTAAGTGTAAGACACGAAGTGAGTGCTTGCACAACAAACCTACCTCACCAAAATATTTGCAAGTACAATCAACTGTAATTGTTGTTTCATCAAATGCAACAGTATGCATGATCAAATCCTTTTTTGGATGTCCAACATGATATTCATAAAGTGGAGGTTGAAATCCTATTACCTTTGTCGTGCAGGGAACACCATTGACAAAATTGTCTTCAAAATGTAAATAGATTTGAATAGTATAAATCTTCCTTGCATGCTCCAACAATCCAATATCTGCCCAAACTAAATGACGATTTCCAGTCATACTATCATAATCATTACTACCTTCTCTACTCCTCCACTCATCAACAACCTCAATAAAAGTAGTGTAGAAATCACATAGACCATGAGTGGCATGTAGTCGACGGGAAACTGATTTGTTAGTAGTTTCACTCCTCTGAGATGACATAACACCGCCACTAAAATAATCTTTGGAATATGCAGGACACCACATCTCTTTGATATTATACAGATTTTGCAGCCATTTATTATCTGTGCATTTGTACGTTTTCTGCGTGCTGTAAAATAAAAGAACATCATACTAAGTGAAAAGAATGTCAAATATAATAGAAAAGAACATCTGTCTACTTAATTCCAGCACATTAAGTTCACTTCAGAAGAACATCAAATATATGATAAAAGAACATTAAACGAACAACACAAGGAACATTATTTTAAGTAAAAAGAATGTCACATGTAATAAAAAAGAACATCTCTCTATATTAATCCAGCATATTGGGTGTACTTGAGAAGTACATCAAATAAATTACAAAAGAACATTAAACATGAAAATAAAGAACATCGTCTAGCAACTTAAAGAACATTGAATCAGTAAAATATTTAAATAACATAATTTTAAAATTATTAATTCATAGCGTTACCTTGACCAATAGTGCTCGAATTCTTGAATAGTATCGGTATACTTCAAAACAATATCAAACAAATCATTAAAACCTTCCTTTGCTCTAAGTCCTTTGATATTTTTCTTTGCATTCTCCCCAATATGCCACGTACATAGTCGATGTCTGGAATTTGGGAAGACAACCTTAATTGCTTTGGCCATTGCTTGAGCTTGGTCAGTCATTATTGTCACAGGATGTTTGCCACCCATGGATTTCAAAAAAGTATTGAACAACCACTCAAAAGATTCCCATTTTTCATTGATCAAGAAGCCAATACCAAACATGCCATTATTGTTATGATGATTCATACCAACAAAAGGTCCACAAATTTGTTTGTACGGTACGTTGTATCATGGACTAATAAATCACCAAAAGCATCATAATCTACCTTCATTCTATTATCACGAAAGAAGAAAGATTGCAAATGGCCTTTTTCATCAACATCAAAGTCATAAAAAAAGTCATACTCACTAGATTTCCTCTCCTTAAAATAGCTAAGCAAGCGCTTTACATCACAACCGTCAAACATCATTTTCTTATGTTGGGATAAAGCACCATACGCATCCCTACAAAGAAATGAAAGATTTGCCTCTCCACCAGCTTGATGTTTTAAAACACGCACTGCATCAGCAACAAGTATACTACTCTCAGTCAAGCTACTCATCATCACAACTTGTTCATTAGTAACCTGTGTACATACAAAAAAACACATTGTTTCAAAAAAAAGAACATCATGTATTTGTTAAAGAACATATATTGCGCATTTAAGAACATGATTTAAAATAATTTTAAAAATTGTACCATTACCTTCCTATGAGACCTAATCAAATGTCTCTTTGAAACAGGAACCCTACTATGATTATGAACCATAGTGTGATTGACCACGACATACAAACCAGACACCTTATCAATATCAAACTGTATATGAGCCTTGCAACCTGTGCGGAAATTCCTCTTTTGGTAAACTTTTGATTGTTCACCATGCTTCTTCTCTTGCTTAAAGCCAGCAAAAGAACACACCAAAAAGCGTTGCCTAGGTGTCCTATCTTTGTCATCTCTACGATTCAACCTATCTTTACGTATACCAAAACCATGTTTAAATGCATAACTATTATACAAATCATAAGCCTCTTCATCAGACTTAACTTTTCTGTCAAATAATTCTGATTCAGTTGCCTCGGTAAAACCTGAAATAGGATATCAAAATACATATATATTAAGCTGATGTTCTTACATAATAACATGATGTTCTTTTAAAGGTATAAAATGTTATTTAATATATTTGTAATGTTCTTTATTAAATGCACATTGATAACGGCACATTAATTACAGAAAATACAAAACAGAGTACAACAAAAGTACACGACTCTTTCAGGAAAGTACATTCCATTACAATAAAAGTATATAAAGAGTACTACAAAGTACCTATATAATTAACAATTGCACATGCACTAATAAATAAAATCAACATTGATTTCAAATTACATATAATAACAAATAAAAAAGAACATATGTAAATAATAAAAGAACTTCATCTTCAACCTCATGAAAATCACTGTGAAATTAAAAATATAAAGTAATTCGATAATAAAATTAAAATTATTAGTAATAACTAAATCTAATAATCAAAATTAATGATTAACAAATGAAAAATATAATGAATTAAACAATTCACCTTCATTGAGGTTTACGATACCCTCGACTTCACCTTCATCGTTGATATCATAATCATTTGCATCATCGACAAATCTAGCATTAGAATCATGGCGAAATTCAGATTGATAAACCATTATTAACTTCTTCTACAATGAATTCAAATGATTGATCCTCAAAATTTTCTCTGTAATTCTCTCTCTGTAATTTTCTCTCACTAAAAAGTTTGAAATCTCTATGATTTTCCCTCTCTAAATCTTTTTTGAAAATATCAGTTAACAAAAATTAGCAAAAACTGAAAGCTATAAAATCGGCAACAATTTAGCAAAATCCACGTGATGTTAAACTGTCTCCTTTTTTTTTTTAAAATTCCCGTAATTAGAAATTAATGGAATTAATCCTTCCAACTCAGCAGGTGTACCATGAGCATGGTACACCCTTGTGTACTATCAAACTTTCATCATTTTATATGGTACGAGTACTATTTATCATAACTAGGGCCACTAACGTGCACGTCATAGACTCACCACTCACCAGGCACCAACTAGCTATGTTTCGGGAGCTCTTTTGGATTGGTAGCATTAATTAATTGATATATATAAAGAAAAATGTTTATGGGTATAAATGACTGCACACTATTCTTAAAAGCTTAAAAAAAATTGATGATGGTAAATAAGTAATAATTATATATTTATATTGCAAGGTCTAATTATCCAAACAGTATTTATAAGAGTGGTGTTAAAAAAAATACTATTTATAAGAGTCATCTCAAACTTTTATAGGGGGTAGCAGATCGATTGAACTTTAAAGTTAATTTTCGCCCAACGTACTCTTGGACATCTGTGCAACCAAATATATATTAAATATTTCCCACCATTATTAATTCAATTAAGCTTATTTAATGAACAGGGTCGTTTCAATAAACATGGAGGCCCTGTGCAATTTAGACAAAGGTGCGCCCTTTAATTATTATTATTATTAATTTTTTTTTTTATCTATACTCCCTCTTTCCCTTTTTTAGATTCCTATTTTTAGCATTTAACAAAATAAATTATGTTTTGAGCTAGATTTAAACTCGTGACCTCCAACACATAAAGGTCATATATTTATCATCTTAACCAACTTTTATTACTGTTTTGAATTTCACATAATTAACATTATTATATTTCTTCATTTATTAAGTAAATTAGTGTTTATATAATTTTATTTATTTTCACAAGATTAGAAAACAAATACATATGGAGTTAAAAGAAAATAAGAAACAATAGAGGCAACGCCCAAACCACACACCAGCAATACAAATTGTTGAACATAATTATCAAATTAAAAAAGTATAAATTAGCAATTTGGGGCATCACTTTCGCCATACACTAGTTCTATATTAAAGATATGCACATGCCCTCATATATTATTGCCCTGGGACGTCCCCGTTCATTTAACATGACTAGTTAGAAATTGGCTAGCAACTAATAATGGTGGGAAATATCTAATATTTGGTAGACCAATAAGATCTCATGCATAAATAATGCAGTGTCAATTGTCAAATACAGACTTCACACATTCCACAAGCTTGTGAGTTGTTTTATTATTGGAGTTGAAACCTCTCCAATTTTGTATTTATGAAAAATAATTGGTTTATATAATTATATTCTTTAGATCAACCGCTAGAAATGCATGAAATAAAATAAAATAAATTAAAATTATACGTTATATTATACTCTAGATTTATATAATCTTTGCTATCTAAAGTTCATAATATTAACGTAAACAATCAAGATTAAGAAAAGGATGATGACCGGCCTTATACACACGTTTAATATGACTTTGTTTTTAATACTCCTAGCTAGCTATCAATTATATTCTTACACATACAACATGTATTTTGCTTTTAAGGTCATTCGTTTTACAATAGTAAATTTATATTACGCAAAACATGAGCATTAATTAAGCAATCAAGCATGTACTGTACGAGTGTACGTCATCAGATCATAGGATTATTGAATTGTAGATTATTGTAAATTGTTGTATAGTGAATTCTGCATATTTTTCCACTTATTAGTTGGATGATTGCATAATTGTTATTTAGTGGTGTCCCCACTTAAAAGTTTTATCTGAAACCATTTTTATATGTGACAAACAAAAGTTTGATGAAATGATGATCGTACAAATTTGTTGAAGTCTTATATTTTTTTATTAAAAAAAAATAATAAAAATACTCCAAAAAGCATGAGTCATGAGAATATGAGATTGAAGAAATATAATTGTAGGATTTAATTAATAAGCATAGATCACATGAATTATGAACTTAATTATGTACATTTGTTGATTCAATGTAGACAAGTAAACCCTTACGTAAACGCAAAGACAAATCGAGAGATATATATAATTGAAAGTGAGAGAGAATTATCTATGCATTTGTATTGATGATTCATGCATATTGGATTTGCCCAAACAAATGCTTCAATTAAAAAACACGGTAAGATACTGTTCTATTGAGGTTATTTGTCTCATTAATATATAATCATTTTACAATTTAGCTTCATCTTGGTAGCATGCATCTTCATTATAGACACAATTTAGCTTAGCTTCAAATTAGCTAGTGTGTAAGTGTGTTTTATTTTGATACTTCATACTTTGCATGTCTAATTAATGTGGAAAAAACTATCTACTAGGTATAAGATTTTTTTTTTCCAAGATTTTGAAGCAATTCAAATAATTCATATAATTTTTTTACAAGTAAGCAAAAAGAAGGGCCATACACGTCAATTAAAGAAAAACAATAAAGGTATCTATGTAGTACTTGTATATTACCATATTACCTCGCTTTATTTTATAATTTTATTAATCTCACATGACCTAAGGTATCACAAGTATGAAATACTATAGAGCTTTTTTTTTTCAAAAAAAAAAATGAGACAAGTAATATGGGACAATAGGAGTATCACTCTTAAAATTATGGTGCTTGTTAATTGGGTGAATTGGTTTAAGCAATCCCTTCAGACTAGGTCATCATTCCTTACGTGCTCAGCCATACGGACTCGTTTGGTTGCAATGGGAATTAACTTCCCATGGTAATTTTCAATTCATGGGAAATTATTTCCCTCCTCAAATTCCTAGGAAGTTGTTTTAGTTTGTTTGGTCAGCATTAGGGAAGTCACAATTCCTAGAAAATTTGAATGATCTAGGGGGAGGTAGGTAAATGAATTTCCTCCATTTTGCAATTTTTTGGCTAACTAAACAATAGTTCAATGTATTTCCTAGGAATTTTGAGTGCCTACATATTGATGCAACCAAACAAGGCAGGAAATCTTAAGCTGAACCTCAAGTTGGACGGATCATATATATGGCTTAGTTGCTCAAAGTTGGAAAGCCCAATATCGTGATGATTTGGGCTAACATTCTGTTTTAAGCCTGTAGCCCCGTTAACTGTACATGTGACAAGAGTTGATCCATAAAAGTTGGGCCTTTGCGGTCAGGCCCAACTTTATAATTGGAGGTTTTTGTGAAACAACTCAGCTAACTTCAAAAATGATCTACAAAGATGTCAAAATTAAACCAGTACAGGGTATCTATTGTTTAATCTCTAATGGTATGGTGTACATTAGTGAATCTCAAATACTTCACATCATCATAACGTTATACTCCATACTTCGTAAATTGTACTCCATAATCCGAACTCGTATATAGATAATGCATTTTAAGATATTGTACATAGTATTGGATGCAAAGAAAATATGAAATACGAGGTTATGAGATACAAGAGTTACAATATTATTATCTGAAATGTAACATAGAGTCAAGACATATGTATACACACATGAAACATGCAATAAGACTACTAGACGAAAATTGTAAGTTTTAAATCAAAGCAAAACACACTCAAATTTATCATTGTACTTACATTTCCCCCCTGAAAATTTGCTTTTATACTACAAACTAATTCAACCAATGGCTCAAACAAAGTAATTAACACAATAATTAACCCAAAGAAATCAAAGAGCCTTCAACTAATTCAGTCTAATACTAGCTAGCTATTAAGAACTCTTCCTCTTCTCACCCCTCCATCAAATCTCCCATTGTCTTTAACCTTAGAATTACTACTAGAAACTCCAAAAGCATTTCTTAAACCCCTAATTAACCTCTGCCTTAAATTCCTCTTCACAACCTTATTATTATTCTCTTCACTATTGTCATCCAAACACGAAGATGATCCCATATTCATATCACAAAATTCACCATTATTGTTATTATTACTACTCCCTCCGAACCTCAAAAAACTCGAAGAAATCGACCCTCTTTCTCCCCTCTCCACCTTATTATTATTAAAGCGACAACTCGAAGTCCTCCTTTGATCATCCATCAATGAAGCACTACCACCACCCTTTTGTTTCTCTCTTTCAGACTCCATAAGAAGCTTCTTCATACCACATAATTCCTTCTCTAGGCTTTGTATCCTTGAACACGTCGTGTCAATTGCTGATCGTAGTTGTGTAACCTGGCGTAGGGCTGCATCCCTCTCTAGGATTGCTCCTAGGGTGGCCGGGGAGTCGGTCCGTGGGTCATATTGGGAGTGTTGTAGGGGATTCGTAGTTGTGTTAGGGTTAATGACGGAGAAAAGAGAACGATGAGTGTTGAGTTGTTCAATAAGCATGGCTTGGACTATGAAACGAAGAGGCATACGTGGGTTTTGTACGGCGTGCATTAGGAGTGTTGGAGATAGTATGCTACAATCTATGCAGCTTGTTATTTGTGTCTTCTGTTCTTCTGACATTTTTCCATTGTATACCTGTGTAATGTAGCATAGACTCATAGTTGTTGTGTAATGATTGAATTTATTTAATTTACATGATGAAGATATGAAGAAAACGCATGGATGCATGACTAGTGATATCAAATATTTACGTATATTCTCTATCACACTTATTAGTTGTTACATGTTTAACCGACTCATCTATATATCATTGTCATAGGTACTGTATTGTCAAACGTTGCAATTAATGAAATTGCATGAGTATATAGTACACTTTGAATTTTGAAATTTTGCAAAGAGACATCACATCACAATGATATAGAAACGCATGAAAAGGGGAATTAAAAAAAGATGATCAATAATGCAAAATTTTTTTCCTGAAATTTGGATGTGGATTGAAAGTTGAGATTTTAGAGAGCTCTCATGAAACACAAATTTTGGTTTGTAAAATGGGATGAAAGGTAAAATGCATACATTCAATAATCTATATTTGTACACACGATAAATGATGGACAATGTACAACTTATTCAGTTATTTGCGCCATGTCCAATAGTTGTTGTACACCTTAGAAGTGTAATTCCTAGAAGTTTCTCATGCTCTCTCTTAACAATAATATAGTACTGTACATCTTTCATTTATGCTATTTTGTCTACTCTAGTACTTCACTAGTAAAAAAACAAACAGTAGATCGAATTCCTTCAACTTCTCAATCAAGTCAATTATGTTTCAACCAAAAATTGTCAATTGTCATATATACAATTTATTTAAAAACATTCGTATATAATTCTACTTGTCATGTGACACTCTCATTAGACTTCTAGAACATGTGATCAATGTAAAATTGTACATTCTAACGTTGTCAATTATTCTATTATATGGTCACACTGTAAATGATAACACGAGTATAAGAGTGTAATGTATAAGAAAACTTACCAGAAAATAAAGATCGATGACTCTATAGAGAAGATCATGACTAGCCGTATATCTCCCCTGCATAGAGTCCGCAATCACTTTGATCCCCTCAGGCGAAACCGTCTTAAGTCCGTCAGCACAACTAACAGCTCCATCTCCTTCGCCGTCATCCAACAATGCTTCAATACATCTACTAGGAAGAAACGCCGTTTGCTCTGCCTCAGGAAGCAACGACAAACTCGAACGAAAAACGTTACATATTAACGTTCTATTTACAATAACCACCTCACGGAAGTAAGACTCCGTTAACTCACGGAGGCTTTCTTCACCTACAATGCCGTCCATTTCTAGGAGTTGGGCCGTTATACGAAGAGCAACGAGATTGGACGGTGTCATAACGGCGAAATTGCTGTAACAGAAATCGGCAACTTGTTTGAAGGTGTCTGCCGCAACTTTTAACGGTGGAGAAAGAGTGAGTTCGGAAACCCTTGTTAAATGGCGCTTAAAGTAACCACTTTTTGAAACTAAAACATCCTGTTACAAAAACAAATAAACAACTACTTTAATATATACGTACTGAATTTGTATTTATTTCATTGATAGTGATTTTTCATTTGCATTTATTGCTTGAAAGTACATTGGTTTTCACCATTTTTTTTGGCCCCTTATTGTTTATGTTTGTTTTCCATGTAATAAGGGTATGTTCTCTTCTTATTTTCAGTTCAGTTCAGCTTCAATAAGTTTAATTCAATTTTTAATTTTCTTCTCTCACAAAATATTCAGTTCAATTCAGTTCCAATCAGTTTAGTTTAGTTTAGTTCAGATCAGTAAATCAGAACAGACCCTAATTCAAATGATCGATCAATTTCCCAAATTATGGAACTACAACCGATTCTCCTATAGCCCTATACTCCTATTCATACATGATTGCATTTGTAAATTGTTGTATATGCTTTCTCCGTGTTTTAATTGCACAATTTCCCTCATTAAAGTTTGACTGTAATTTTATCGATGTGGAATCTTAAATCAAATCAAAGTTATCAATACAAACCCTACTAATTGGTTCATAACATTATTTCATTATGATCTATCATGTGATGCAACATTGTAACTAGTTCTATATCGACTACATGGTCATGTGATGCAACATTGTAACTAGTTCGCAAAACTTATTAGCTTGTGTTTAAGGCGTAATTAGAAATCTTAGGTATTAGTCATATTACTACTATACATTCATTAGGTAACAAAATGAAATTGCTTGTATACTTATTTGGGAATTTGATACTGTAAAGATATGAATCAATGTAATAATGAATTGACCTTACATGCAAACAAATGATTACTTAAAGATAATGAGAACATAATGAAAGACAAATTTGGTTCTTAATTTTCAAAAAATGTCAACAGATTATAACAGCTTTGGTAATGACACTTAATGAGACAATTTTCTATATTTGTTAATCTTTCATATTGTCAACATCATACAATTTCTACTCTTCATATTTTCTTGTTTTTTTGCCCTTCTTCCTTAATCTCTTGGGTTCACATATGCATCCCAATTACACATTTACATTAATACAATCCTTTAATTAAGTATATAATCTTATTTATGACATAACATATTAGCAAAATTCTCATTATAATGTGAAAACAACAAGATAGACGTGGCTAATTTAGTAACTTGAGATTTACAAAGGGCTAATGAACATAGTATGAATTTTGGAAAATTAAGCTTTATCACAATAATAGTACTATTAAAGTATTAAATCAAATTTAATAATATCAGTTTCAGACTTTAAAGGTCATATTAATTTATAATTAAGTAAAATATTATTACTATGAAGTAATTTCTAAGGAAGGGCAAACGTACAGTACACACACCTTGTGCAAGTGAAAACATACGCCTCGTACTTGTATCTTAACGTCTGGTTTCCTTCCCGTTGCTTCCGTCCTTAATTAGAAAAAAAATTAAATTAAATTACAGCAATTAATTAAAGAAATGCATAAACATATCACAAATATAACAAAAATATAATAATAATACAAATAATTAGTATATACTTTCTCCGTTAAAGGAATATTTTATATCTCACAAATAATACCCCTTTTTGCAAATAATAGTTAACAGAGGTAGTAATAAAATAAAATAAACGTACCAAGCGTCAACACCGGACTGAAGAGGAGAAGAAGGAGAAGAAAGAGGAGGTGAACCAAGAGACTCTAGTTCATCCTCATCGTCTTCGGTTTCATGTTCGTGTTCATCTTCATCTTCAAAGATAGTCTCTGAAGCAACCCCAAAATTTCTCCAACCCACCTTCATTTTTTCTTCAACTTCTTTTTCATTACAAGCAGTAGAGGACATTGAGATTTAAAAGGGTATATAGTATAGAAAATAAAATATGAAATTAAACAAAAACAAAAAAAAGAAGGGAAGAAAAATAGTTGTAAGTTTTTTTTTTTTCTCTTCCTGTAGGAAGGTCTGAAAATGGGCCTGATAAAATTGTAAAGCAGTAAAATAGTGCAGAAGTGTTGGGTAGGGTGATAAATAATTTGCCTGTTATATATAGAATTTGGTTGGAAAAGGGTATTTAATGTCATTTCCCTACTGCTTGTATTGTGGGAGTATTTAATGCAATGGATCTTTTACATTTTATTTGTGATAAATAATAATATAAATAAGATTCAAAAATATTATTATTATTATTATGGAAATAAATAAATGTATAATAATAATAATAATAATAAGAGTTGAAGATCTTTCAAAAAAAAAAAAAATAATAATAAGAGTTGAAGTATTGTTATTTTGTGGGGATCATATGACACGAAATTTCTCTAAGGTTGGTAGTTTCAGACTTGGTTTGGTGAGAAGAATTGCTAAAAACAAATTGGTTTGGAGAGAGGTTCATCATTCCTGGTTAACCATTATTGTTTTGGACTTGGGTAGTTTGCACAGAGTTTATTTATTTTAATGCTCTATGATCGATTAGATATAGTGACTCAAATGGCTGTAATTCTTCGTGGTTACATTAATACAAGTATTACGTATGCTGTAAAAGTTGTCTTTGTATTTGTTGTTAAAAAAAATAAAAATTGTCATTGTCTAATCTATCCTTTCTCTAACACTTTACTTAAATGTATGACGGGGACCTTTGATATTTTAAAAAAACATTGGTGTCATTGAAAATCTAATGACTAGTTAATTATTTTGCCTTATTTGGTCTACCTAGCATTCTTGGATAATTTTATTGGTTTTTTTGCAAAGATTATGTTTCAAAAAAATTGATCAATTGTTGGATATTAGGTGTTCATGTGTTTATTAACTAACTGTTGACCAAATAATTCTAACACATGCTATTGAGAATTGAAGAGACCTTTCTAGCTGATTAATTAATTTTTAATATTGGATGAAAAGATGGCTCAACAGCCATCAACTTAACATTCTTTTCATTGCTTGGCCACAAAAAAAAAAAAAAAAAAAAAAAAAAAAAAAAACAAAATCTAATGGAAAAATGGGCAAAACTTATATACTGTATATCATAATGGGTTATATATGAATCATAACCCATTATTTAATTTAATATAAGTACTAAAATATCATCAAATTCACCTATAATATTTATGATAATAATTATCTATTTAACCATTTGAGTTATTGACCTATAGACCAAGAATTATTTTTGTATATCAAAAAGTATGTACTTAGCATCAATCCAAAGTACAACAAAAAAAGACATAATTTATTTTGTCTCTTTTGAAATATTTGGTTGAAGGAAGGTAAGAGGTGGCTCTCAAACGACATATAATATGGCTACTGGCCTGGCCTCTTATAGGGTGTGAGGATAATAATAAGATATGGTGGTTAAAAGGTATCCAAATTATGAAATTAGTAATAATATTAATTTATTTATGAATTTGATTGGATTTGGATCATTACAAATTGTGTCAAGAGAGTACGTTTTGTCATAATATATCAATCCCTATCAAATAAATAAAAAGAAAAGAAATTTGACCAACCTAATTGTTATTTAAAGTATACATAAATTTGTTTTCAAAAAACTATTCATGTAATACATAATTACTAGTAGATCATTATATGAAATAAGCAAAAAAGAAATACTCCGTATCTAGTACATGTGCCAACTATAAAAAACATATATATACATTACTCTATATATTAAAACTGTCAAAGTAATCACGGATTACTTCACGAGTTTGAAAAATTTGAGTATTTGACTATGTCTTTGGCATACAAACTAGCTAGGTAATCATACTCACATCACACACTACTCAGCACTGACATATTTATATGTATGCATAATGCAATCTACGATTAATGGTAATGGAGTAATTACTTTGAAAATAAATGGAAGAGTTGCTACGACTTTCACCCCTTGAGTTTAACTAGTAGCTAGCTAGTGTAATCATAATAATAAAACAAAAATAGTGCTCATCATCAATACCTTATCAATCAACAACAATGGCAAATTGGCAATGGAGTGTGTAACACCAACCCATGCATCAACATTCAACAATATGTTAATTTAACAGAAGATCGTAATATGACCCTCGGTATGTTAAAGTTGATGATTGGAAGTAAAATTTCTTACAACTTTTGACTAGCATTATAACCAATTTCGAAACAATCATATAATGGAACTAACTCATTCTTAGGAATTTATAAACCTATTAATAGGCCTGTTATGGTTATCAACAAACACTTATGACCACGAAGGACATCCTCAACACACATTTAAATTTTGAAAAAAAAATAAAAAAAATCTCGAAAAATTGATCTAAAAACGTGGATTTTAGCCTTGTATTTCAGACACTTACACTTTTTTTAACACTTTAGAGCTTGTAATGTAAAGTAAATATTATGAGGTGTTTTAATGGAGCCCACGAGATTGATAGGTCATTTGGGAGGTTGAAACCAACTAGTTTGCCTCTTAACTATCTAGTTACGTGCACACCCTCTATCGTAAACTCAAGACCACTACAAGCTTTTATGTGCTGACTAATGACCATATATAGTATCAAACAATATTGTATTACCTCGGGACGCATCTTTTGCTAACTCTTTAATTTTCAACACCGGATCCAAAATTTCCTAAAATGCTTCGATCTCGTGTGTTATAGCCTTGAATTTAGCCTCAGAAGATCATTTAGTTCATAACAAGGATAAGCATCAACCTATTCCCTAGTTTCCTAAAATGTCTTGAGAGCCATACTTGGTGGCTTGGTGGGTGCCTAAAACCACCTCATTCATTTTTTGGTCCACCCCTTGTTATTTCTTAAGATGTGCTACCTTGCCACCGCTTGGCTTTGTGTTTGCCTTAACTTAAGGCAAGTTAAGACATTACCTTCAATAGCCATAAATAAGTGTTTTTGTGTTTTTATCACAACCAGTCGATCGAACCAGCCAACAACCAACAAAGGTAACAACCGATTGCCAAACAAGACCATTTAAGTGTTTAACAATTCACCTTTATCAAAGACCTTTTTTACAATGGAATTAACCAAAACATGTACAACCAATCTACAATATTCCATGTAGATTTATAAAAGACCAAAACCCAAACTTCTCCAAAAGAAATGTTAACAATACACAAATGGGCCAACAACCCAATCAATTTTTTTTTTAAAAAAACCTCACAATCCATTTTTTCCTCAAAAACAAACCAAACAAAAACGAGTAAACCCATAACATTTCACAGCCCAACAACAACAACAAAACCCTTTCGGCACACTAACAACACTCACACTCTCCCTATTATAAGACCCTCTCAAACCCTAAATCTTCATCCTCTTCATCTTTTCCGCCCCCTTTCAGAAAACCCTAACCCCAGAAAAAAAACCCAGAATCCGAAGATGAAGCACAACCCCAGAGTCTCCAGCTCTCGCCGGAAATGCCGCAAGGCCCATTTCACGGCCCCTTCAAGCGTTCGCCGCGTCATCATGAGCGCACCTCTCTCCGGCGACCTCCGCAGCAAGTACAACGTCCGATCAATGCCGGTTCGCAAAGACGACGAGGTCCAGGTTGTTCGTGGTACCTTCAAGGGTCGTGAGGGTAAAGTTGTCCAAGTTTACAGGAAGAAATGGGTGATTCACATTGAGAGGATTACTCGTGAGAAGGTTAATGGATCGACTGTTAATGTCGGAATCCACCCTTCAAAGGTTGTGATTACGAAGCTGAGGTTGGACAAAGACAGGAAGTCTCTGTTGGATCGCAAGGCTAAGGGTAGGGCTGCTGCTGATAAGGATAAGGGTACCAAGTTCAGTGCTGAGGATATTATGCAGAGTGTTGATTAAACTTCATTTTGAGAGGAGAGAGAATTTGAGAGAGGTAATGGAAATCAAAGGGTGTTTTTGCTCTTTTGGTTTTTGTTTTTGTTAATTTCTGTTGTTTTTTTTTTTTTGGAACTTTTATCAAGTTAGTATTATTATGTTATAAGAAGATTTTGGATCTAAATTTATGGCTGCTTAGTTTATTAATTAGGGTTTTTGTTGAACCTCTCGATTTTCTCTGATTTATGCGATATATTTCTACGTTCTAATTACTGTTATTAATATTGTTTAAGTTTGTTTGATGATGTGTTATTATGAAATGGTTCTGATTTTGATGGTTTTCTAGGATGTTGTTAGCAATCTTGAGTAATGCTAATATGGAATGATTTGTAAGGTAATTTGATTAATTCAAGGCAAATTTTGTGTACTGTGTTCTGTTTTTGATAGGAATTTTTTAGTATTAAGCTAATCGAAATGGGTCGTTTATTCAAGTTTAGCTCTTTAATGTTCTGTGATTAGTCTAATTTATAATGACAATCATAGTTGATTCTTTCAGTAATAGCAGTAATAGACTAAGCATTTGAATATTAAGATATCGTAATTGACAATCATAGTTTGTTTTCCCAAAGTTAAATGTTGTTGTTTTGGTGCAAGTTTAGCTCTTTAATTTTCTAAGTGAGTTTCTTATATGATGATAGACAGCAGTTGTATTCCCTGTAATTGACTTAACTCTTGAACATTTTATCCTTTTATGTGCATATAAAAGTTTTGATAATTGAGTTGAATTTGGTTGTATGATCTCAAGTCTTGCGGCTATTAGTATATATGAGGCTAGAATATTAAATTAATGTATTATGATCTAATCGTTGAACCTATACACAGTAACAGATTAACCGAGCTTGTGCTCAGTTGTTCCTTTGTTGGTGGTTAGGTTCTTTCGAGGATTATTCTTAGATGGATTGTAAAATTGTTATAGACTTGTAGATGCAAGGGATTGGCTTTAATGTTTAGTGTAGCATCAAGGGTTGCTTAGGTGATTCTTTGTTTTGGTAGTTTCGCTTTTTTCTTCTCTTCAACTTACTCTGGGGAAGGATTTATTGGGTGTTTTACAGAGATTGGCTGTAATGCTTAGGGTAGTAAGCATCTGACAATATTTCTTGAATTATTAAGGTGTATGTGAGGTATGTGGTGGATGTGCACAATTTTGAAAATTGGATATGTGCGTTTTGGATTGACAATTCAATGCTTATGGTATGATGTGGGATTGGACAATAACTGTGATCCTGTGAGAAGGTAGCTAGGTAGATGTTTGATGTGATTCATTTAGTATGGTTAAATCTTAGTATTTGAGAATGGAAGGAATTAGCTATACAAATCTGGGTTATTGTCATTGGGTTCTGCTCCTGAGATGATTTTGTATCCGATGTCATATATGATTATATAAAGTGTAAGGTTAAATATAGGGCTTGTTTCATATTGTGTTACTAAATGAGTAGGCTATGTATGATATGAAGCGTAAGGGCTAATGTATCATAGGCAAATGAGTAGGCTATGTATGATATGAAGCGTAAGGGCTAATGTATCATAAAGTTGGCAAATGAGTAGGCTATGTATGGCATACAAGCGCTGGCAAGATTAAGATTTGATAATGTGGTTGTTTTTGTTTTCTATTCACATAATTTGTCGAAGGCTTTTAACCTTGAACGGAGTACAAATTTCTTCAATACAAAATAAGAGCAATAACAATCAAATCCTTAATCCTGCAATTGAACTACTTGCGAAGATTTTAACGGATCCTACCATGAAATTGGTGTAAGTCATATTATACGGAGTAACTACATTTGACATTTGCAAGATTAAGAATCTATCTTCCTTCAGTTCCTTGTATTGTTTGAAGCCTGTTTATTCGTACTTTGGTTCCAGCTCTCTCCAGATCAATAATTCGGAGTCTTTTTAGAGTTGGGAGGCTAGTGTCTAGCTTCTCTCTGAGCCCGAACCTTTATACGCCAAGTACGAGTACCGTTTAGATGTTTGTTTCCTCGTTGATTTGCTAAGAAAGATTAAGTTGATTTTGGCTCTTAATATAAGGCGATTATAGTTTTTGTTGCTATATGTTTCTTGGTGCCTTAAGTTCAATTCTTGCTTTCAAGTTTATGAAGATTTAACCATCCCATTAAAAAATTCATAGAATATTTAACTCAGCCTTCAAAACAAATAACACGGTAACATACCCTTAACTCATCAAGGGATCACTTCAAAACATGCATATTTTACTTATTTAGAACATTTCAATCTTACCGCTAAACAAGAGCTCCCAATTCCTAATCCAATCTGCCAACCTTCAACCTCAAAACAATGGCTTAAACTGAAAATTTCCACGAACATAATACATTCGTACAGAGTGCTTACTAAAAACACACTCAGTTTATTGCAAATTATTGGCAATTGAGCAAACAATGTAATCCTATGGGCTATGCCGCTATGACAATACTGAATATAATTCATTCTAATGATATTTGTTGTCAGCCAATAATACAAGTGTAACTCACCACACTCCTAAACAACTAACCTGGTAAAATGAAACTTACTGATGAAGCACCCAGGATTAAACAAGAGTAAGAAATTACACGATACATAGAAAACACTGAACATTTTAGTCAGGCCAACAACCTATTCCATTTCATGTCTGCATTCAAAATTTCAAAAAGACCAGTATCAACAATTAAAACTTCTTCCAACTAAAAAAAAAATGCTACCAGGAGATATCTTGGCAAATTACAATGCCTCCTTGCAGATCGGACAGACCCGAATCTATAGACAAGTATCAACAACAATGTATTATAGCAACAAAACCTCAACCAGAGGGAACCAACAAATGAATATATCTGTATAACTACTTATTAATAGCTCCAATGAACAGAGCCCCATGGGGGACGGGGAAAGGGAGGAGATGGATTGTAAAACGTTTTCCGGAAGAGAAGCATCAGGTTATCAAAGCTTAAGAGCAAGCCCCAAGCCAAACCTTGGAGTTTTATCCAAGGCCAGGGTGTCAAATTCACTGGCGACAGTGAGCACTGATTTAGGAATGACCTGGTGCTGGAATACAGTGCCAAGTTTCCCATGGTTGTTGAGTTTTGCCTTGACTGTTGTCAAATGATCAAGTGCATATGATCCTCCAACTGTGAACGTGTTCTCATTAGTAGAAAACCTTCTGCTGATTTCAGCAACTGCAGCACTTTTCTTCAGCTGATCAAAATGGTACAAATATGATGCCTTCACTGTGTCACCCTTATCGCCCCTGTGTAGGAAAACATTCTAAGAGTTAAAATTGTACCGTTCTCATTACACCAACTATGACATATAAATATTAGTCAATCAGACGAGGACTTACAGAATAATAGAAGCACATGACTCTGGCTTTGAAAGATTAACACCAGCAGTATACTTGGTAAAGTCACCAGAAGTGGTGTCATAACCAGCTTCTACACCAAAGGCAATAGTTGGGGTGCCAAGGGTAGCCGTAACATCAACAACAGGAGACTTGTTTAAAGCAACAGCTGATGTAAATGTTGCATGGTTATGGAAGTATTGAACCTCCAGCTGTTTGACAAATGGCAAATAAATTAAGATAGAGGAAACAATAAGAGAAAATCCATTTTCAAAGGGCATATTATACCTTGCCACCAGATGTATCTGGTATCTTGAATGAAGCGATAGTTTTTGTTGATGGGATTATGTCAGCAATTGTGATGGTAGTGGAGATCTGCCAAAATAGAGTTAAGAAACACGAGCTTATACACCAATAGGATACTATGAGATATAGAACACATTTGCCATTTGATCTTTGCTAGTAAAAAACATTTGGAGAAAAGTAAAATACCTTTGACTCTGTGTCAAGTTTGACATCAATCACAGTGTTCTTGTACTTGTACAAGGCAGCCACATCTCCATTTGAAAGTCCTCCTTTCTTCACAGCAGTTGAGGTGAATGCCTAAAGGTTTGGAGAAGAAAATGACATTAAGATATGTTCCCTTCCTATTTGAGAAACTTAAAACTTATTCTTCTTCGAATAAAATAAAAGATTAGACTACAAAAAACAAGAAATTATTACTTGCATAGTTGCATGCATAAACTAATACCAATTCTTGTCAGAATAAGAAAATTTTGGACCACCACAAATGAGAACTTATTTCAGGAGCTTAATATTTGTACAGCTTCAGACGATAATAGATCTATATTTTCATCTAATAGTTACTCCCTCTATTCTTATTTTAATTATTAATTACACTTGGTTTTACACAATCTCCAACTACCAACGCACATAACCTTTTACTATGTACAAGTATATCATTATTAGTGTATTAGCAAAGAAACTACAAATTTGATATTTTAATTATGCATTGAGAATACAAAGCCAACAAGATTCACATGATAATAGCGATGATTCATGATTAGAGTTATTTATCTTTGACCCTAAAAGCAAAGTGTAAGATTTTTTAACTGTTTAAAAAATAGAGGATGTGCGGAATACAATAGATTGTGGGGGTAATTGATAGTTAAAAAGATACATATAGAGATGAATAAGATCCCGCTTGTAAATATTCTTTCTTAGATACTCCACATTTACATAAAGTAACAGCATAACACGATCAAACCAAAATATAGACCAACCTACCTTAATAGTTTCAATTCAATTCAGGTTAAGAGAACACAACCCTAAACTGGTCAAATAAAATTTATGAAGATGACACAACATGACATTTTTTTTAAATTTAAACATTAGCATCAGAATACAGTAAAACTTTGGTCATTTCAAGACAGACCACAGCAAAAAGATTCAGACCAGACCTAGCTTGACCTTAACTAAAATAAGTTCAAATCACCTAAATCTAAGTAATGTAAATATGAAAACAATTTTAGATGAAAGGTCATGAAACTACATAAACAAGGAAATGAAGCAACCAGAAATCAATTATAAGGCAAGATTTACTACTTTTATCAAACCACAAAGGGCTCATTCTGTTATTAGACTCATTATATATTTGTGCAAGAGTTAGAAAAAAAGGTAGACCATTGGTTCAAAAACCGAAGGATAGTATAATTAAAGTGCACCACATATGTCTAGAGCACTCATAAGATCTCCTGCACAAGTCATTCTTCTTAAATCTACCTTGCATTTCAATCCTTCAAATTTTCAAAGTTAGCAAGCTGCAAAAAACTTCAAATCACTATTGAAACAGCTTTCAAACTTTCTAATTTTTAACCTCCCTCATATTCT